TTAGGGCTTTATAACCAGGACCAATAGCAACAATAACATCTACTATAGGTTGGTAGTAAATGGAATTTACAATATTTATTGGAATACAATAATTATATAACCACCTATCAATAGCTAAACCAGCTCTATACAAAGCTTCTTTATTTACAAATGTACTTTGTATTCCTGGTTGTGCACCCAGGGTTGTCCTTAGGGCAAAGAATTTCTCTGCAGGTTCAGATGCCTTCCTTTTTCTTGATTGAGAAGAACTTAAAACATTTGCTTCAATCACTTTTTCTTGAGACTGTGGAAGAGCCATTTCTTTCATATTTGAATCATCTTCCCCAAATAGACTATCCTCTGTTTTTGTTGGTTTATCTTGCTTTTTTGTTCTCTTTCCCTCAATCTCTTTCAAATTTCCTCCAATCGAAAGTGAACATCACGAGGCACATTTTTAAAACTAATGGCATCTCCTTTTTTTTAGCACGGTGCTATTTCATTCTATTAATTCCCTCACCACTAAATTCCTTTGCACAATACAGGCATTCTAATCGAGGTTTTCTACCTTTCTTTTTGTTTGGTGTTTGAGTGCAATGCTCCCATGTAGAATCTGATTTAGCACTAATAGATTGAGTAGATGCAGCAATAGATGTATGTTCAGATCATGACATTTTCTACACCTAAACAAGTAAATTAACAAATTAAAAGTAGACAGACAATATGAATATAGCCTTCCTATTTTGTCAATAAACAACTCTCGAGTCTCAAATGGATCAGGACAATATGAATATAATTATAACCATGTCCATGAATTAATTATAGAGCAGACAACACAGTACAAGACTCTCGAGTGGATCAAGATTCAGGCATAATCACTAGAAAAAAAATAAAACCTCTGTTTGCAATAAACAACTCTTAGACAATAAAAAACAAATTCGTTTTCGTCCATTTAACAATCCTTTGTTTTGCAATAAATAGCTCAGGCAATAAAAAAAAAAGTTCATCCATCAACATTCATTCCTTGCTATTCAAAACCATGGGCATTAGATTAGATTAGGCAGAGAGATAGATGAGGGAGATAGAAAATCTCACTAGGACTGAGAGAGAGAGAGAGAGAGCGATCGATGAAGAAGATGAAGAATGAAGGATGCTGAGTTCGATGCCGTCTGATTGTCTCGGTGTCTCTGACAGCTGCACGCCTAGGCAAGAGTCAACCAAGAAGCCAAAAGCAAAACCCAGATCATTGGGAAGGCAAGAAGCAAAACTTCGAGATGGCTAAATGGTGAAGAAGATGAAGAAAGAACCTATATAGCTGACTGGCTTAATGACGAAGACCATAAATGGAACCCAAACAGTTGAGATTTAAGGAGGTGATGACTAACCAAAACCCACTGTGTGAGATAGAGAGAGAACAAAGAAGAGAAGTGAGATACTGAGATTGATGATTGAGACGCTGATTTTTGAGTTTGAGCTACGAGCAACATTAATGCTGGATGGGTCAGGTTGCTAGTAGTCTGTGCAAGAACTCGATAAGAGTTTTTTTAATTTTCAAAATACCAATCTTATCCCTCCTTTTGACTAACTATTGACCCATAAAAACACGCTTCGAGTTTCGATTCTTTTCTTTGTTTATAAAAATCGTTTGGTTCTAGGCGGTCCAACTCGAGTTAATAGCTAATATAGGTTAATTGATTGAACTAGCCCGCTTTCTTCAACGAGCGACGGTCTAATCAGTTCAATCGTTCAGGTTGGTTTGGGTCTTAAAACATTTCTTAAGAGCATTCAACTGTTCAAATAAACTTGTACAAAATAACATTATTCAAACACACACGCACACCCTATAAAGTCTGTTTTTGATTTGTAGGATTTAGAAAGTAGCACCTTATCTTTTAGTTACAGAGTTTTGTTGGGTTGATTTGAATGAATTTCAATGGAAAAGGATAGCCAAATTGCATCAAGAAAGACGTGAAATTAATGAAGGATTGTGCATAGAGAAGATAGAATAGTGTAAATCATACTATCAAAACTCAACTAGAGTTGACTGATCTAATTAATGAATTAGTCAATGAATTCGATTATGCACACGCACATTCTTATTTTTTAAAAAACAATATATTATTTTATGTCCTGGCAGGAAAACTAAAAGTATTCCTCATACTTGCAAAATATGATTTTCTAAACCAAGTGAAACTTGAAGTCCTGATTATATTATAGGCATGACGAAAGAGGCTCCATCGTCCATTCATCTGGTCATTGACTACATCTAGGCGGATGGGAAGGAATTTTATTTAATAAACTTGGTTAAATATCTTCTCTCTCTTTATGGATTCTATGCACGTTTTTAATAATTGTTTTGTTGTGTCACACATTCATGTACGGCTAAACTTCCTTGGTTTACATATATACACTTTAGCTATCAAGTTATTTGTCATTTAAGACTTTAGTTACTTTGATTTATTCAATTTAGTTTTTATATTTCGTTTGCTTTCCTTGTCAACTTGTGAATTACTCTTTGTAATCTTATTTATAAAATACCTTGTAGGAGTAATTTTTGATTCAAAATATAAAATTTGTAATAATTAAATCACTTTTTTTAATTTTATCTTTTCTTAATTAGCGTAAAAGTTTTTAATATAGTTATATTATTATTTAAAGTCGGGGGTAAAAATAAAAGTACATTTTATTTTTTATAATATCAAGAGAGAAAAAACTAATTAAATGCTTTTGATTAGTTTCATTTGTTCAAACACACACCCCCACCCACCCTCATAAAGTCCTTTTCTGATTCATAGGATTTAGAAAGTAGCACCTTATCTTTAGTTACAGAGCTTTGTTGGTTTGATTTGAATGAATTTTAATTGAAAAGGATAGCCGAATTGCATTAAGAAAGACATAAAATTAATGAAAGATTGTGTATAAAGAAGATATAATAGCATAAATTATACCATCAAAACTCAACCAGAGTTGACTGGTCTAATTAATAAATTAACCGGTAAATTCGATTATGCGCGCACATACACATTCTTACTTTTTTAAAAATAATATATTATTTTATATTCTGACAGGAAAACTGAAAGTACTCCTCATATTTGCAAAATATGATTTTCTGAACCAAGTGACACTCGGAGTTCTGATTATATTAAAGGCATGACGAAAGAGGCTCTATTGTCCATTCATTTGGCCATCGACTAAATCTAGGCGGATGGGAAGGAATTTTATTTAATAAACTTGGTTAAATATCTTCTCTCTCTTTATGGATTTTATATACGTTTTTAATAATTGTTTTGTTGTGTCACACATTCATGTACGGCTAAACTTCCTTGGTTTATATAAACACACTTTAGCTATCAAGTTATTTGTCATTTAAGACTTTAGCTACTTTGATTTATTCAATTTAGTTTTTATATTTCGTTTACTTGCCTTGTCAACTTGTAATTTACTCTCTATAATCTTATTTATAAGATACCTTGTAGGAGTAATTTTTAGTTCAAAATATAGTATCTTGTAATAATTAAATCACTTTTTTAATTAGTGTAAAAATATTTAATGTAGTTGTATTATTATTTAAAGTAAGGGGTAAAAATAAAAGTACATTTCATTCATTTTTTTAATAATATCAAGAGAAAAAAACTAACTTTTTTTAATTCATGTAAAAAGATTAAAAGTGCTTGATAATAAAAAAAGAGCATATTTGTTTTTGAGTCAACTTGCAAAAATGGTTATTAAAATATAACACCCCCCTCCCAAAAAAAAAAAAAAAACACACACACACACCCCCACCCACCCCCCAATAGATAGGATTGAATTATTTCAATTTGTACTTAAGATAGATGCGTGCTCAAAAGCCTTGCATCATCTAAACAATACAATAGAAGAATGATATCATCCTTTTACTTGGTACCACTCGTATGCTTTTGGTGCTGAAAGATTCAAATAAATTTATGACCAATATTAATTTTAAGATTTCTTTGAAATTGTATTTTGGGGGGAAACTAACGATTCAGTACTGCCGTTTTCTTGAATTTTCAAATTGCTTACTAGGGCTCTTCTTTTGGTAAATCACCCCCACATTCTTAATTTCAGATTGTATTTTCTCTGCAAGTAATAATCTTTTTCCGAATCAAATTGAAATGAACTTCTGCCCTTTTTTCTTGAGAGAATTTAACCATTTTAATTCCCAGTAGGAAATCAGCATGAAGGTCATACGTCACGCCTATTTGTTGCCACTTCATATATCTTACAGTTTGACACCTAAGCATCAGCCTAACTGCATTTTCCCAGGTGGCACTTTTAGGGATCTGATTGGAAATTTTATAAAACTACGGCGACTAGCATAGGAAATTCAAGTTGATATTTAAATTGGCATGTTTGATTCCAGAATAAGGGTGTTTGTCGTAAAAAAATAAAAATTCACAAAAATAAGAGTTGTTACCAGGCCTGATTAGACTTATCTGTAAAATAATTTAATAATTAATTACATTGTACATGGAAACTTCAACACCTTACCTAACACAAGAATATGTTCTTACATAAATTCAAAATATCTTTGGAGACCATAGGACAATTGTCTGCATAGATTAATTAAAATTAGTATCCCATGCCATATCATTGAAAAACAGGGTTAGTTGCCCCGTCCAATTAATTCTATTAAACTCCCACTTTCAAGTTCCCGTACATTTTTCTTTTAAAAAAAATCAGTTTGTTGTAATTAACGAAGTGCTTGAAAAATAGCTGAAATTAACAAAAAATATGTATTTTTATTTACATTTAATCTTTAAAATAGATCAAAATTCGTCTTCATTATCTACTATTTGTAGTTTGTAAATATTGCTTCAAAAGCAAACAAATTTTATGTAGATCAACGAGGGACATGAAAATATTGAAAAAGTAAACACCCTTCCAAGTTGATTATTTTTGTTTCTTGGCAACCAACACCAACACCTACGTCTACTCATTTTAAAAATTAGACTAAATGACCATACCAATAATTTAACACCTTAACTGTACTGTGTTTCCATGGTGAACTGAAGCTCGCGAACCTTGACTTGATCTCCTTCTCTCCACCATTATAAATTGCATTCTACTTGGCTCCAGAGATCATCATACTTGTTAACGCAATAATGGACACCATCTCTTTCTGTGTTCTTTCACTCTTATTATCTTCTTCCTTGCTTCATTCATCTCTCTCAGCCTCTTCTGCAGAACTCCCTCGCCCAGAAAGAGAAGCATTGGAGATTATCATCGGAGGGGGAGGAGATGCCCCTGCTCCTCCCAATTACGACTATCCTCCCGAATACCACCACCCACCTCCGCCGCCGCCGTTGTCGTTCCGGCTGGAGAGAGCACGCCGTGTCCTTCTGAAATTTGCTGCCACAATTGACGATCCCAATTGCTTTACCAGCAACTGGAACGGTCCCGACCCATGTCAGTACAGGGGAATCAAATGTGATACGTATCCAAATTCGAGTGAGTTAGCCGTTTCAGGATTAGATTTCAACCAAGCTGGTTTCTCTGGTCGTCAAGGTTCAAGGTTGGATCTCTCTGGAATCCTGGCAATCCCAGAACTAACATTCTTCCATGTCAACTCCAACAATTTCTCAGGACAAGTCCCCACATCAATCACTACATACCGATTTTTCTACGAGGTCGACTTAAGCAATAACAAGCTCGAGGGTGGATTTCCAAGGCAACTTCTTGCTTCTGAGCAATTACTTTTCATAGATCTCCGCTTCAATGACCTCTCCGGACCAGTCCCTTCAGAACTCTTCACCATGGATCTCGACGTTATCTTCATCAACCACAACAAGTTCAGCAGCTACCTTCCATTGAATTTCGGGTCCACGCCAGCGAGATACCTCACATTCGCCAACAACAGATTTACCGGACCGATCCCGAGAAGCATAGGAAACGCGTCAAACACCTTGACGGAAGTTCTGTTCTTGAGAAACCAGTTTTCTGGGTGCTTGCCTTACGAGATTGGGTACCTGAAAAAGGCCGTAGTATTCGATGTGAGCAATAACACATTGACGGGTCCAATCCCAGAGTCTTTCGCTTGCTTAGAGAAGATTCGGTTCTTGAACTTAGCACAAAACAAATTCTACGGCCCTGTTCCTGAATCAGTATGCGAACTTTCTGGAATCCGCAACGATGGAAATCTGACCTTGAGGGATAACTATTTCACTGAAGTTGGACCGAAATGCCAGAAGCTGATAAAATCAAGGGTGCTAGATGCGAGTCAGAATTGCATAGAGGGGCTTCCCAATCAGAAATCGCCTGAAGAATGTTACAAGTTTTTGTCTTATGTGAAACCATGTCCCGATGAATGGTCTCTCAAGCTTGTTCCGTGTGAGAAACGTGATCCCAAGTATGATGAAACTGCTACGGCTCCTGCGCCTGTGACTTACGAGGCCCTGAAGCCGACACGACATCGTTTGATGTGAGCCTAAGCTCATTGGTTTGGCTTGTTCTGCATTGCATGTGTCTTTTCCCTCCATCGTTCGTCTTTTGTGATTAATGAATAAGCAATGTAATTAAGATGTCCAATACATTTCTGTTAATAATTTTCAAGTATTTATCAATAGGGTTTTTCTATGCTAAACTGTGAAAGTACTTATTTCTCAGAAGACTGAATCATATATTGCAATGTATGATGTGTTGAAACGTGTTTTCTTCTTACCAACTATTTGGTCTTTTCTCTTTCTCATGAAAAGGAAGACGGGTATCTATAATTGATAATACACAATGTTACATTTGAAGGGTTAGAAACTACATAAAAAATGTAATACCCATCCCCACTTGTCTTAAAAAAAAAAACCATTAAGCACATCATGCCATACCAAAGTCTATCAATGAATGTCTTTTTTTTTTTTTGTGGTCCAAGAAGAAATAGTGGTTTTTCTTTAATTCTTTAAGCTTGGAATGTGGCACAAGACACCAACTGTGCCTTTTTTTTTTTTTTCTCTCTCTCTCGGTCGGTATGTAACATTGCAAATTATTATTTTATTTATATGTATGTATGTATGTCAAAACTTTTTTGGCCAGAATATAGCAAAGTTTTTAATAAATTATATTATTTACAAGTCGTGAAAAAGTATGCTCATTTTGAAGTTTTTACGTTTACCATACAAAATAATATTTGCACTTAATTTTATTATTCTTGTTAATTAATTGTAGCAAAAATAATTATTATTACTTTCAACATCTTTTGAGAATATATAATTGTGTCTTTTAAAAAAAATATATAACGAGTCATTCATTTTATACACAAAAATAAAATGTGTAATGTTTAGTTTACTCACAATAAAATATCATCACTATTTTGTATATTTAGTGCCACTCTCACTTTCCATCACGACAGCCCGCCACTCTGCTTAATTAGTAATGGCTTTATTGATGTTTCTTGAGGTTGAAGTTTGGAATGTGACAAAAACAAAGCATAAGTGGCTTTATTGACGTTTCTTAGGTGCACCTAGTAGCACGCTACATTACACTTGTTCTCTCCAATAAAAACACACAAGTCAATATTACATTTTCGTGGCAACAATATTATTTTAATCTGACATGGTAACTTAATTCCCCTCACTCCAGGTTTCTTAGGCCCATTAGGTGTAGCTGGCCCACTAGCATCGTCTTGATGGTTCATATGCTAGTACTTATTAATATTAAGTCAATCCAGTGCATGGAGCTGGTGCACCGTTTTTGTACAAGGACAACTTATTCTTACAAAGTTAAGATATTTATTTTTAATTAAATTAAGACACGTGTATTATTTATATATTATTTATTTTATAAAATTTTTATTATTGATATTATCAACACATTAAAATTTATTTATTTTGATATTATTAGATAAAAACACATGAATTATATAATGTTAAATATATAATTCTTGTCCTATTCACAATCTTCTGGTAAATTTTTCCCAATCTTGGGATGAATCTCACGGTCCAAGCTAGAAAACTTCTACCGTCACCACTTGAGGGCTCCGCACTAAAGTTGATCTGGTTTTCCATTTTCAATGTAGATGAATTAATTTTAGGTGTTTGCATAATTTTATCTATTTACCCTAACTCTCACTGCTACTAAAAAATGTGATGTCAAAACAAGTGATATGTATGCACACAAAAAATTAGTATAGATAGGAACTGAACCTCACGAAAGCTTAAATATAAGATCTCAAATTTAAATCTTTGTGAATAAAATAAAAAAATATGGTTAATAAATATTCATTTAATTAGATTTCATAATACTTAAATTTGACGACGTAATAATAGATGTAGAATAGATAGCTTTTAGTGAAAAGTATTTTGCAATATATGATTTCTATTTTTGCCATGAGAAAATACTAATTCAATGGTATAAAATCCACTAGCTATTGCTAGCAAAAGTTTTCAAGTTAATAAAGATTTGGCTTATGACCCACGAGCCTCTATGATTAAATCTTACTATCAATAATTACTTTGTTGGTAGATAATATGCAATGGTGAAACAAGGACTCAAAGTCACGGATGTGGTATATCTTTTTAAAATTTGAAACTAAAAAATAATAATTTTAAACTAAAATTGCATATTTTATAGTTATTCTGCAATGGATTTTTTAGGTTTGTAATAAGTATATAATAAATTTATAGCCTATGTTATTAAAAGTATTTCCTTAAATATATTTGTACTGAATTATTATTTTAATAGTCTCACCCATTTTTCCTGATCTTTGGGGCAAAAAGTAAAGGTTGTTTTTAACCATTGCAATGATGAGAGGTGAAATCATTGTTAATTTCAAAAAAAAGATTAAAATTAAACTAGTAAATAAATATGTCTTTTAGATTAGATATTGTTATGCGTATCTACTATCAAAGTATTAAAAATGATTTAGATTTATAGGGCGTGCAAAATCTTATGACCAGTGGAGGAAAAATATCAAAATTTATACTACCACTTTCATGTATTTTCCCCAAAAGTGAGTGCACCCCTCAAATATGTTGGCTCTGCCACAGGTAATTTATAAGTACTTTTATAAGTATTTTTTAAATTTAAAAGCATGCTTAGTTTTGGTGAGTTTTTGAGACTTAAGTCACATAAATTTACTACTTCTATCCCAATTTTTAAAATATTTTTAAAAATAATTTGACATCTCAAAATATAAGATTTTTTGATAAAAATAAAATTTTATTAATGATATTTTTTTTAATATTAGCCTTCTTATTATATTCTCTCTTTTTAAATGAAGAACATTTATAAAAATTTATGCTATTTTCATTTCAAATTATAAGACATTTTTAAAAGAGATTTGATATCTCAAAATATAAAATATTTTGATAATATTAAGGTTTCATTAAATATATTTATTTTAATATTACAATTTCTTGCTCTCTATTAATATTAACTAAGTGTAGATTTAAGGTTATTAAATAAAAAATATTTTTAAAAATTTATATTTTTATTTTAAAAAAATAAAATTACTAAGTGTATTTAAGAAGATTTATTAATATATAAAATTTTATCTAAAAATATTTATAATTTAAGATGAAAAAAAATTTTTATTTTTAAAAAATAAAATTATAAAATATCTTTAATAAATTTTATTGATACATGTTATTTTATTTAAACGTGTTTTATAAATGGAAACCAAGGAAGTATCTTGTGGAAAGGGGAAAAAAAGAAAAAAAAAAAAAAAAAAAGAATCTACTGACTATTAGTGGCAGAGAAGTGGGCTAAGGTCGTCAACCTTGTCTTCTCCTTCGCCACCATTATAAAGCTCGTTAAACTTAGCTCAAGAAATCATTCCGGTTCACACAATGGACACCATGTCTTTCTGTGTCCTTTCACTCATACTATCTTCTTCCTTGCTTCACCCTTCACTCTCAGCTTTCTCTGCCGACCTCCCTCGCTCCCAAAGAGAAGAAGCATCGCAGAACGCCCCTGCTTCTTCCCCCGAAGACGACTTTCCTCCGGCCAACTGCCCCCCTCCGCCGCCTCCGCCTCTCTGCCCCAGGCTTCTGAGAGCGCAAACTGTGCTCCTGAAATTCGCTGCCACAATCGATGACCCCACCGGCTTTACCAGAAACTGGAAGAAGGGTGTCAGCCCTTGTGACTACAGAGGAGTTAAATGCGATAAGTTTCCAAATTCAGATGAGCTAGCCGTTTCAGGACTAGATTTCAACCAGGCTGGTTTCTCCACTAGTCAAGGTTCATGCTTGGATCTCACACTAATCCTGGGAATCCCAGAACTGACCTTCTTCCATGCCAACTCCAACAACTTCACGGGATCAGTTCCGAAAGAAATCATTCGATACCCATATTTCTACGAGCTCGATTTAAGCAACAACAAGCTCGAGGGTTATTTCCCATGGCAAGTTCTATTTGCCCAACAACTCATTTTCTTAGATCTCCGGTTCAACAGCCTCACCGGACTAGTCCCTCCATTGCTCTTCTTTCTGGATCTAGACGTCATCTTCATCAACAACAACAACTTCTTCGGCAACCTTCCGTGGAATTTCGGGTGCACACCGTCGAGATACCTCACGTTCGCCAATAACAAGTTCACCGGACCGATCCCAAGAAGCATAGGACTAGCGTCAAACACCTTGACGGAAGTTCTCTTCTTGGGAAACCAGTTTTCTGGGTGCTTACCTTTCGAGATTGGGTTCCTGAAGAACGCAGTAGTCTTCGACGTGAGCAAGAACTCGTTGACGGGTCCGATTCCAAACTCTTTCGCTTGCTTAGAGAAGATTCGGTTCTTGAATTTAGCTAACAACAAATTCTACGGCACTGTTCCGGAAGCAGTATGCGAGCTTCCTGGGATTCGCAACGATGGGAATCTTTCCTTGGCGGGAAATTATTTCACTGAAGTTGGACCAGAATGCAAGAAGCTGATAAATTCGAAGGTGCTTGATGTGAGCCAGAATTGCATAAAGGGCCTTCCCAATCAGAAATCACCTGAAGAATGCCAAAAGTTTTTGTCTTTTGTGAAACCATGTCCCAATGCAAGGTCCCTCACATTTGTTCCATGTAAGAAATACGATTCCAAGTACGTTGAAACGGCCTCCTCGCCTCCTGCTCCTGTGACTTACGAGTCTCTCAAGCCCATACGGCATCGTTTAATGTGAGCCAGCTCATTTTGGGTTTCATATATTTTGCTTTTTCAGTGTCAAGGTGAATTTTCTTCTGTTGTGGCTAATTAAGAAGGGGATTAATGAATAAGCGGCTTAACCGAACTTGTTTTGTACGTTTCGCATGAACAATGAAGGATATACTCACGGATATCTTGTAAAATAATTTTATATACTTTTTATATTATATATTTAATTGAGAAAATCTAAATTTTGAAAATAGCTTAGAGAAGAACCCATAAAGCTTGAGCAATTAACTCAAAACATTGTTCTATGCATAATTTAGCTCGGTATCTTAATTAATTGGCATGTTAAGAGTTAGCAGCAGGCTTTAATTAACAGACTAATCTTTAAAATAATTGATTATATATAGGTAATTAACTTGGAAAACTTTAAATCAGCACCTATATATTTAACACAAGAATATGTTATTGTATAAGTTGAAAACTATTCCTTCCAGGCCAGACCTCTAGCGCTGATAACTAGCTTACAGTGAAAAAAAAAAAAAAAAGGTGAAAATTCAATAATCTCTTAAAAATTTGTACATCTTTCTAATTATATTTTTATTAAATATTTTATATATGTACCTTAGTAATAGTACTTGAAATTCTAGTGCATCCTTTTTTTTAAAAAAAGAGTAATATAAAAGGAGTAATAATATATATAGTTAAAAAAATAATTATAAAAAAGCACCAAATGTTTTATATTTTGAATTAAATAGACTTTTAGAAGATATATTATATTTTGGTAAAGTGTGAGGGAGTATAACACAGATCAAAGCACAATTATCTGCATATAGACTGCTTAAAATTAATATACCACGCCACATCATGGAAAAGGCAGAATCTGTATGCCAGTCTAGTTAATTAATAATTAAAATTAACTAAGAAACTTCTCTAAAAGTAATATTATATTATGCTAGAAGATTAGTGCATGTAAGGTTCATAGACACACTGTTTAAAGAGACTTATAGAATTACTTAGCTTATGTGAGACGCTCATAAACATAGTTAATTAGAAGCATATATACTTAGTTTTATTGGGACTTAACTATTTACGGATGATGTTATTTATACAACAAAAGATATGGGGAGGACTCTTGTTAGTGCAAACCAGGAAGGAGTTCACTCTCGAATTATATTGCGGGAGAATGGACAGTGGACAGAAGCTGCTTAATGGATATATAATGATGAAGGAGCCGCTAAGTCTGATTATGACCTTTTCATCACTGTCATTCACAATCCCATTTGTGGATCAGACATGAATAACAGGCTCTCTACGGCACATTTGGTGCCAAATTGTGTGCTTTGTGATGATGATACATGTCCAGAATCTGGCACCTCCTACATGGCCCCGCCATTAGGATCGTCGCCAAATATTTTATTGGAATAATAATTAACATAAACATATAACAGTAAAAATTAAAATTTGACGGAGGGGAGTAAGCATAGTTGCTAACCAAATAGTCAAAGTTACATCAAGAGATGATATTTCCAGTCCCATCCGAATTCCAAACAGGAAAAATTCTCACATCCGAACCAGACTTTTTCATAATGAATCTATAAGCTTGTTTAGTTTCTGTTTTTTTAAATAGTTTTTTATTTTTAAAAAACAAACAAATTAAAAAGTTTGTTTGCATGAGTATTTCGAATCTAATCATTTTCAAAACTGTTCTCATTTAACAAAAAAAATTAAATCTGTTTTTAATTTATTTTTCTTATTATCAAATTACATTACATTTAATTATTAAAAACTATAATTATCTTAACTAATAATTATCATAAGACACGATCATTAACCATCGGTGACCATCACTATTGACCAATTTTTTACTTGTAAAACAGTTTTTAAATTAACATAACCAAAAAAAATTCTTTTCTTGTTTTGAAAAATAATTTTAAAAATTATGTTGTAAAATAATTTTTAAAAATAAAAAATGAGAACAGGAACCAAATAAACCTTATATATGTATGTATGTATATGTATAATTTATATAGGTAACTGATGGGCAAATGTTTTTTTCCCTTCAACCCTATGGAATGAATTTCTAGTGTCATCATTATTTTGCTACATGCATCTTGAAACTTGAATTATTAGAAATTTATAAGAGCATCGTCTTGATGTAATAAACAAAATAAGATGTACGGCACTTTTAATTATTTCACATATCTTTTAAAAAAGTTTATTTTTTATATAATAAAAAATAAAACATACTTTTATTTTTACATTTAACTATAAATAATTATATAATTATATTAAATACCTTTATACTGATTTTCTTATAAAAAGACAATTTTTTCAAACTATTAAAAAGTCCATATAAATAAAAGGCCTAATCAAAAACATTAATTGGACCGAACTGCAACCAAGACACAACATAACAGAAATATTAAAAGCACACTAATTAAAAAAGAGTAAAATTAAAAAAAATAATTTAATTATTATAAAATATCCTGTATTTTGAATAAAACTTATTTTTTAAGGAAGTCAAAAAAAGGACCGAGAAATATATCTGAAACTAATGTGCATTAAATTCATCCGTACCTGATCCCAATATTCAACATTCACACACCCAAACATTTGTCTCTCTCTCTCTCTCTCTCTCTCTCTTTATTTTCCACCTAGTATTTTGAAGAGTGTAAGTATTTTAGATTCATTTTCCGCTCATCTCATTCTAAAGGCTTTTAATGTGTCAGTTTTACAAGTACCATTAACAAGACACATTTTGTATGTTCAACTGTGCAACTACATGTCATAGGGGTTGAACACGAGACTCTAAATTAAGCTACCTAAATTCCTAATCATTTAAACAAGTGCCCGTTGGTTGGCTCATTGTCTTCATGTTTGTTAAGCTGTGTACCATGTTTTTTTTTTTTTTCTTGGGATAGTAACAAGGGATTCAAATCCTGAAGTTGGGATTGATAAATGATAAATTCTTGTGAAGTTTTTCCTTTTAAGAGGGAGAGGGAACATTTTTTATTTTATAAAAAATAATAATAATAAATATAAAAAAATTAACCTAAATTTACCAATCTCAACTTTAGAGGTCTTAAATCATTACTAGTAATTAGTATTCACTCACTCACGTGCGGGAATACACTCGGGGGCACTGGGCTCATTCACGAGAGGCCCAAAATCCCATCAATGATATTGGATATGAATACATTTGTGAGCTTCATCAGGGCTAGTCTAATCAATTATAGTACTCGTGAATGATCAATCTCTCTCTCTCTCTCTCTCTCTCTCTCTCTCTCTCCCCTACATATATATATATATATATATATATATATATATTTATTTATATTTATTAGCCTGGATCTACAATATCTATTCACAGAGGCATTTTTTTCTTTGAATTAAAGGCCATGGGAAAACCTTACTATTTGACAGAATGAGTTATGTTGGTACATCTTCCGCGGGTCTAAGATTTGTAAAGGTTATCAAAAATTCACAATTCCTATGATTACTCAAGATGTCTCTCATAGTGCATTGCTTTTGGGTTGGGCTATATGTGAATCCTTTCTTGAAAATTCCACCTTTGTTGAAGTTATATGTAAATAGAATTTTCATGCCATTACGTCATCCACATCTTTCCACTCCATATCTTCGCTATTCACATCTAACTTTCTTCTCCCCCCCCCCACCCCAACCTTCATTTTTTCACTAAAATTAAAAAAGAAAAAAAAATACGTCACATACGATGATGTTGATATTAATGTTAATGCTCAAACGCACCATACTATTTAAAGACCTTTAAAACTAAAATTTATGAAACACCAACGCTATCATTTATACCTCCATATTCATTATTGATATTTCTTAAAATTCTGTTTATGTTTTCTAAAATTATATACATTCGAAACATTCTTGCACTGTTAATAATATTATATGATCTTTTATAAACAAGAGTAACTACTTTAGTCTTTCACAATAATTGCAATTTTTGAAGAATTTCAATGCCATTAATTTAGATCCCGTTTGGTTACCAGAATGAAATGAATTGAAAAGGTAAAGATAAAAATGAGATGATCAAAATAAATATTGAACCACCTTCGTAAAAGAAATAAATAATTTAATTTATAGAATTAGAAATTATGGTTCATTATTTTTTTTTGGAGGATGCAATTATTCTTACACTTTTAGTATATATTAATAAATTTTATAATATTTACCATAAAGAGGGAGGGTGACTTAGTTCATTTTTGTATTGATTATTTTAATTAATTACATTATATTCATATCTAGTAACCAAATGAAATTTTACTCTTATTAGTCCCTGGTGGTCATATTCGTTAGTCCTTATTTTTTGGGGTCAATATTTGTTGATGACTTTTTTTCCCCCTTGATTGGCTTTGAGTTTCACTAAATGGAACAAGTTCACATTATATGGAAGTGCTTAGTTGAGTGGGGTTCATGGTTCAAAAAGCCAATTTATATCTTCCACTCGGAATCGTGTTGGGGTTAGGTTGCTTGCGCATGACTTCATTTCATTTTCATTTTCATTTTCTTAAATGTGCTTCCACACATTTTTAATTACATTCTTGTTTCCGTGCAAATCAATCATCAACTAACATTCACTATTCTCTTGCCTTTTCAGAATTTTCCGCCGGGCTATATATATATATAGGGGAAGAGCTAAGACCCATAAGTGAGGGGTGCAAAATCTCACAATTCAAGGATATGGGTGCAAAATAATAAATCTTAAAGGATGAATGGTTTAAAATTTTAAAGATATGATTGCAAAATACTAAAAGCTATATTTACTTTGTTAAAAAATGTAAATCATTTTTAATTAAATATTATCTTTTAATAAAATAATTACTTATTTTTAAATTAATTTTATCTTTTTATATCCACTTCTATTTAATAGGATATTTTATCTTAAAATAAATATAAAGTGTTTATTTAATATGGATACTTTAAAAAAAAAAGCAATGATTACTTAAAAAATTAAAAATATTTTATATTTTTAAATATTTAATCTTTTAAAAAAATAATTTATATTTTTTAATGAAGGAGTATACCAAATTTATATATATATATTTTTTAATGAGGGAGTGCATTAGCCCCTTCCGTGGTTCCGCCGCCCCTTATACAGACAAACTCGTAAACATGTTAACATAAGTAACTTGATAAACTTGCCATACGCTAACAGTACAGACCAAAACTCCTTTCACTGTTTAAACTTTTTTCACTTTCCCAGGCATCAATTAACTAGAGTTATTGCCAAAGATTTTGGGTCTAAAGTCCAGATTGTCGATCCAAATTCACCTCCCGAACCTAACAACCTGGTCTAGTCTAATACATGCATAATCGGGACATTATACGGCATCAGTCTAATATGAGTTGCTCAAGCACCCAAGTTCTTGGTGGTGAGTTAGTACTGTGACAAATTAATGCCCGAGCTCCGAGACTAATACTCTCTAATAATCCCACCACTAATTAATAACAATGAGAAAATGCGAACCTCTCGAGCAATTCAATTCAGTATAAAACCATACAAGCAAGTTCGATTCCCCACATATCTTCAATACAAAAGATGGGAACAGACATACAATTTCCCTATTACACAATGAGCATCTTCTTCACAACTGTTCTGTTATGTTTCCTCACAGTAAACCCTGAAATCATTCTTGAATCTCCATCGACAAGTCCACCTTCATCATCATTATCTCCATTTGTCCCTGAAATCTTCAACTTCATAGACCAAAGAATCGCCTTGGTTTTCCCAATCATCCAAACCTTCAAGAACACGATCACCTCGGATCCATTAGGTGTGACCAAAACCTGGGTTGGTCCCAACATTTGCAACTACACAGGCTTCTACTGTGACAACCCTCCCGACAACCTCACCGCCATCACCGTCGCCTCCATCGACTTCAATGAGTTCCGGCTGGTTGCCCCGAGCCTTGAGGGGTTCATCGATAAGCTGCCGGACTTGGCTCTGTTCCATGCCAACTCCAACAACTTCTCAGGGACAATACCGCCGACAATATCGGAGTTGAGGTTTCTGTACGAGCTTGATGTGAGTAATAACTTGCTTTCCGGGACGTTCCCTGTGGCGGTTCTGGGCTTGCCCAACCTGTCGTTCTTGGATATTAGGTTCAATTTCTTCTCCGGCAATGTTCCGCCGGAGATTTTCATGCAGAGCCTGGACGTGGTTTTCCTCAACGACAATAACTTCATGCAGAGGCTTCCCGTTGACTTGGGAGACACGACGGTGTTGTATCTCACTTTGGCTAATAACAAGTTCACCGGACCCATTCCCCGTAGCATCGGAAGAGCCTCGGAGACTTTGCTGGAGATCTTGTTCCTCAACAACCAGTTAACAGGTATCTTATATATTTACATTTTCGGTTTAAAATGGCCATCAGGTTAGTTAAATCTTTTCATTAAATAATGCTCGTGACAAAGTGCAGGTTGTCTTCCCTACGAAATAGGGTTTTTGACAAAGCTGAGACTTCTGGACGCCGGAAACAACCACTTGACAGGACCGTTGCCGTGCTCGCTGGGGTGCTTGGAGGCAGTGGAGCAATTGAACCTGGCCGGAAACTTGCTGTACGGGCAGATTCCGGAGGTGGTGTGCGCACTGGGGAATCTGGTGAACCTTTCCTTATCGGATAATTACTTCGCAAGAGTAGGACCACTGTGCAGGAAGCTGATAAAAAGAGGAGTTCTTGACGTGAGGAAGAACTGTATTTTCGGATATGGGGTTTCAGATCAGAGACCCACAGAAGAGTGCTTTCGATTCTACATGCACCCAAGGTCTTGTTTCAATCCCGCGTCGTTTAAATTCATACCTTGTAAGGTATCTCCATGGGGGCATCTTCCTAGAGTTGGTCGCACGCCTAACAGGCATTTACTATCCTACTCTGCTCTTTCCAGAGCCAGAATTGTGTAATATATTACGTTGTTCAAAATTCAAATAATAAGTATTTTTTTTTTATACAACTGAAAATAATAAGTATTTTTTTTGTTAGATATAAAGTGTTTGAATTCCAATCCCTATTATAAGACTTACTGTTATTGCTATTGTCTGTGAAGAAATTCTTAGATAGATGAAATGTGTGATGCCATTTGTGTCTTTTTCAATAAAAATAACATTTAAATGATATTATATATAAATTAATTCTAATATTAATGATAGTAAAAAGAGAAAAAATAAAAAATTAAATATGCATCTCATTATTGAAATAAAATTAATTAAAATAATGTCACATGATATTTTATTTAGATGAGTTGAAGTATTTTAATTAAATAAATTATAAATATTATTATGCCCCCAATCTACCTAAAAATTCTTATTGTTTGTATATCAATATTAGATATAAAATATATTCATGACAAGTTGTATATTTAGGATGTAAATTAGAATTAGATGATTTCATAAATTCTTTTGGCGAAATTTTTCCCCCATAAAGTTCATGTATCAGAAGCCATGACTAATAACTACATATTATTGTTGGATTGAATAAATAGTTAAATAAATCATGGCAATTTGTTTTTCTATTATTAATGAAATAAAAAGACCAGTTTATCCTTGGAGAGGCTTGAAAGTTGAAACTGCTAGCCACTAGCAGATAAGTTAACATCAATAGACTCATAAACATAATCACTTGACTTGGATTTAGGTCTATGCAGGATGCCCATAAGCCTGAAATGCCCTGCCCGACCCGAGTCCTAAAAAAATTGCCCAATACTGTTTGGGCATGGTGGGGCTGAGTCCGATCTTTGAGTTTGGCAGGATTTAGGGTTGGGGTATCCAACCAATTGATCTTATCCGGCCCGAGATATAATATATTTTTTTATAAAAATAATAATATAGGATGTAATTTGTTAACTTGATGGGGACATAAATGGTAGTTCTTTTTTCTTTTCTTGAGGTGCATTGAAATCAAGTTTGTAAACCTTAGGTTGAATATTTCTATATTCCTTAGAATTTGAAACTAGATGACACTTGTGACTTGCATGAAAAATTCCTTCCATATTTGCTTCGCCATTAAGTTTTTTGATGACACCATAATATTTTTACTAGTGATATTTAACAATCTGTTACTTTTAAAATAAGAGCTTGAAGTGATTTATTGATGGAAATAATTAATCTACTACAGTATATTTCAGATTTGTATGGATGGTTCTGATTCTTTGTTTCAGTAAGATAAGGCTGAAGACCCTGCCCAAGGTGCCTGATCCCCACCCGACCCTGCCTGCCCGGCCACTCCATAGACGGTCATCTTTTAGGTAGGGTCGAGCTTTGGGCATATTTTTTTTTGCCCGAAGACATTTAGGATAGGACATCAGGTTAATGGGCTGCCTTACTCGATTCTGCCCATGTACAGTCCTACTTGGATTCCTAAATTATAAAGTAGATTCTATGCATTCGAATAGTTATAATTCACTGTTTAAGTCTTGTAATGTTAGTTTTCTTCTCCAATTTTGCCCTTAAATTTAAGCGATTTTTTTTGTTTAAAAAATAAATGATTCTAGGTTGGGGGAATGAATGATGCCCTTTGAGGGATGAAATTTGGGTGGGTTGGCGGCAGGATCCTCCCCTGCCGTTTCCACCTCCTCCTCATTATCATTATTATTATTTGAAACTAAAATTTACAGGTGAAAAAATTGATATCTTGAACAAGTCTTGTGCTGTAGCCATGTAAACGTGGAATGACATGAAAAGTCAACTAATATGGAAGTGCTTATACATAAGCATATTATGAATCGGCAATCTGAATTAGTGGCCGTGGAATGGGCAAAGGTTGTTGGAGTTAGAAAGGGGATCGCAATTCACAAATTCATAATCCAGAACCCACATGCTGTCTTGTGTGCTCCTTTTATAAAGAAAGCTTCCACCATCTTATCATTTCTATTTACAAATCTTCCTTCATCCATATGAATTAGAATTACATAAATCCTACGTTTGATTTTCGTCATCCTTCCATTATTTTCCTTCTCTTGAGTGGGGTCGATCTTGTTTTGTTTTTGCTCTGTCGTTTTGCGTTGGGTACGCCTTCTTGTTTCGTGTTTCGAACTTATGATTGCAATGTAGGAGATGTTGGTCATGCCAACCACTTATTTGGGCCTTCAATTGTTCGAGTAAATTGAATGCCAATATGAACATGGGCTCAATCGATTGCACCCAAACCTTGCTCAATAAGCAGTCCCTCGTTCCACGTACTCATTTTGAGGCGTTTCCATTTTTTTTATTGTTTAATATTTCCAACCTATATGCACTCATTTTGAGGTCTCTGACTCGTTGCAGTGCCTTTACATACACGTGCTTGAGCTCTTTTCATTTTTTTTTTTCCATTTTTTTTCCATTTCCTCCTGTCCTCGCCACTCATTAATTTTATTATTTAAAAAAATTATTTAATAAAATAATTTGAATGATGAAATTGAAAAATGAAGAAAAAAAAAGTGAAGAGACTTCTCTTCCTATATGTAATGCATCGTACTTCTGTTTAAATATAATATTATATCTTTACATTTCACTCATATTTTGTGGTAGATTCTTATTTTTTTTATTATTTTGGATCTTTACATTTTTATTTTTTTGATGTTAGAATATTAAAAAATAAAATAAAAATATAGGATTTAAAATACTTAAAAAAGTATAAAAACTTATATCAAAATTTAAATAAAGTGTAGAGATTTAAAATTATATTTCTTTTCTTTTGACCACCCTCAAATGTGCTGTATTTGAATGAAAAAAAATAAAATTTATTTTTACTCTTAAAGTACATTCTAAAAAACACTGTGTTTTAAATTTAATTTTGGTATGTTCTTATCCCTTTTTTATATATTAAAAAAGTTTATATGAGTTGAGTTTTGAAGATTTATTAAAGTCAAGTAGGGTGTGCAAAAAAAAAAAGAGCCCAAAACTAAATTTTTTAGTCCAACTCAATTCGAGAAAATCAACCCGAAAGAAAGGAAGATTGAACTAATCGAGTCAAACTATGCCTTCGAGTTAGCCTGGATTAGAAACTGACGTTAGGGACCAATTTGCTTGGCCTGGTCTAGATGATTATTTTTCTAATATTAGATAATAAATACCTATATTATTTACAAAACAAAAAAGAATACACTCAAACATTATGGCCCAATCACTCCAATCTCTGGATGCTTCCTCATCTTCCTTTTTCAACCTGGCCACTACTCTCCTCTTCTTGTCTTCAAACATCGATTGTTCGGTGACTACTAAACTCCATCATCATTCAAGCTTTGGCCGTGTTGCTTCTTTCCTCTCTCCACTTCAGCATCAATGCGTCGTTGCTACCCTCCGTCGTTGCTACACTTTATCAACCATTCCCATGTTTCTCCTCCTCCTCCATCACGTCTTGCTCGCCATTAGCATTTGAGGGCTGTGTCTTTGGCGTTGTTCTCCTTTCCCTAAATCTGCGTCTTCTCAAAATGTTATCTTTAATTTATTTAGGTGGTGGATCTATTTTTTTTCTTTCTCTCGCTCTAGAGTAGAGCTTCTCATTATTTTATTTTTCTTTCAATTCATGGTTCTAATTTGATTTTTTGGATGAGAGGGTCTTGTTTTTGTCCCTAAGTTATGGGCTATGTTAATCTGGTTATAGATATTTGATTTCAATTGAAAGGATAGAGAAGGAGGAAGAATGAAGAAGGATAAAGTGGCAATATTGGTGGTGATATGTTGCGATGATAACAGGAAGTGGCAGGGAGGACTTCAAAGTTGGGATGAGTTGTAGGGGAGAGAAAGGGAAAAAATTAAAAAAAGCCTAGCACACTAGTCTAATAGCCCGATAGACCAAATCTAGCCTGATGGTCAAACTTGTGATTGGACTTGGTCTTGAGTTTAATTAAATTGGACTAGACCTTCCATTATAAAATTTTAACTCGAGACATTTTTAAACTAAACTTTGGGTTAACGCTCAACCCAATCTTTATGTAACCTTAAGTCAAAACATGTCTTTAGACTCTTTTAAAAAAATACTTATAGATTATTTATTAATAAAGTCCTTACTTTAATAATGGGATTTAATCTTATGACCTTGTAAGTTATAAGTCAAATCTTTACCAACCTTTTGACTAAAAATAATGCTTAACTTGGTGTTGATTGACGTCAAGTGAGATAAGTGTGTTCTATAAATTCACATAGGTGGCAATCTAGTCATGGAAATTTGAAAAAATTTTGCCACCCATCATGCTATATAGAAGAGGGATATATTCTGATGATGAGAGAAGGGCAGAGAGATTGATGATGATGAAGGCGATTAGAATGAAAGTGATGCTCTATTTCAAAAGCTTTTGCTTGCACACGATGCATCCTAAATTTGCATACCCTTTTTCTTCCACACCAACGAAGTCCTAATCCCCTCAAGAGAAGCCTTTGGGATACAATGTTGTCATTAGAGCTGTCACAAGCTAGCTGCAAACAAGCTCACACGGGCTAGCACATCAGCGAGTCGGGTTAGGCCAGCTCACCAAGATAAATGAGCTAAGAAAACTCAATCCAACCCGTACATTGATAGGCTAGCGAGCTCGAGGGCCAGCCCGCAAAATATGATTTTATTTTTTAAAATTATTTAAAAATTATAATCAACACATCATATATATATATATAATGATTTTTATCATATATTTTTTAAAATAAGATTTGAATATAAATGTATATTATTTGTATCAATGAATTTATATTTGTAATTTCAATCAATAGATCTTATGAGATTAACAAAAAATATATATTCAAAATATTTTTATAAAAACTAATAAATAATTAATTTACAAACTATAATAAAAATTTCATTTGCAAATTATAAGAAAGATTTACATTATTTTTAAATATAAAGAATATAATTGGGACTCATAAATTATACAACAACAACAACAACAAGCCTTTATCCTACTTGGTGGGGTCGGCTATATGGATTGCAAGACGCCATTGTGCTCTATCATTTATCAAGCTTTTAAGAATATTATTAATTAAGAGATCGCATTCCATAACTTTCAAGAGTGTTCTCTTAGGCCTTCCTTTACCTCTCTTAATCGGACTCAAAGTTATATGTTCCACTCTTCTCACTGGTACCTCCTTTTGTTTCTTTGTACATGCCTAAACCATCTCAACCGATTTTTATCATTTTTTCCTCAATAGGTGCCACCCTCACTTTTTCGCGTACGTGCTCATTTTGAATTTTATCTTTACGTGTATGTCCACACATCCATCGGAACATTTCATCTCTGCTACTCCAATTTTATACTCTTGTTGTCCCGTTAGAGCCCAACATTCACTACTATATAACATTTCCGGTCTGATATAGTGCGATAAAACTTTTCTTATAAATTTAAAAATATAATCATTATTATAAATTTATAAAAAGATATATTATGATTAAAAAATAAATTATTTTTTTAAAAAATAGGCTAACCTGCATGACAACTCGTTTAGCCTGTGAGTTAGCCTGTTTTAATCTGCCATTTTTGCGAATTGGACCAGCCTAATTTATTTTTAAAAATAAACTAATTTGTTTAACTTAACTTATTAAAATTTACAGGTTGAACAGACTAACTTTTGGATTCAATTTATTTTCCTATCTCTAGTTGCCATTGGAGGATGCGCTTAGGATCCTCAAGCAATTTCCACTCAACATTCCACGAATCATGGAGACACCTTCGGCTCAGGCACGTGCTGGATAAAAATTAAACTGACTTGATAGTCAATATATTTTTATTTAATTTTATATATATATATATACACATAACACTATTCCTTCAACCATGTAGACACCTATGGCCTTGGCACATAGAAAGTAAATTGATTTGATGGTTAATATATTTTTATTTAACTATACATACATACATCAAATTATTAATACTTTTTTGTTAAAAATTATAAAATATTTTTAATTAAATTTTATCTTAAATAAAATAATTCTTTATTTTTAAATTAATTATATACTTTTATATTTATTTTTATTAAATACCCTATAATAAATATAAAGACATTCATCAATAAGGACAATTTAAAAAAAAAACAAAGATTACATATTAAAAAATTAAAGATGTCTTATATTTTTTAATGGAGGAAGTATATTTGACACATTTAATTAATTTGAGAGTTAAATTGTGATTTGAAATTTAAAAAAAACTAATATGGTAATTTAAAAAATATAAACAATTAAATTGATAAAATTTTATACACAATAAAATATTAAATCGTTTAAAGAACTTAAACAATAAAATTGATATTTGTGACAAAATTTAAAATATTAAATATTTTATTATTAAAATATTGCTGCTTTTGCGTTGTCAGACATACTTTAAGTTTAAACAGGAATAGTACTCACATGGTATTATTGCGGCAGATGAAGAAAATTATTTTTAATCATATTTATATAACATTTAACTATTTTTTATGTTTATCTACTTTACTTTTTTGCCAAAATAAAATAATAAAAAAATTACTAAAAATATTTTTTTATTAAAGGATAGAGATGAAAATTTTTTAAGTTTTAAAACAAAGTTAATGATATTTAATGTTTTTTTTATCTTGGTAAATAAATTTAGTTTTTTTAATCATACCCATACTTTATTTATTATTTTTTTAAAAAATATTGCATTGAAATTTTGGTTATTATTGTTAAAATATTTATATGAGGTATTTAATGAGGATAAAATTTAAAAAATATAATTTTTTTAAAAAATTAATATTTTAACTAATATTTTTTTGAAATTTATAAATTAGCAGTGAATGCCTTATATATTTTGGTCAGCAAGAAGTTGTATGATATGGAGAATGTTGAAGGTACGAAGCACGTGGAGGGGAGCAATGGTTGCAGATACGGTCAACAAAGGCACGCAACCCAAACCGACCATTCACGTTATTTAGAAGACCAGATCTGTCAACGGCAGCAATTTGGCTCTTTGTCGGAACAATTCTGGGCACCTTCCATGATTTATCCTTCTCATTAGGTCTTGGAATATTTGGAGACCAACAAGTCTAGATTCTAGAAGGCTATGTGATCCATCCATCCTACGGAAATTGCAAGGAATAGTTTTATGAAGATTCGAATCCACATAATACATTATCTTCTTTGCATTATCTCACAAACAACACTTTAGACTCGTGGGACGGGGCTGGAATTTAAGAACAAGAGTGCAGAGATTAAAAGACACATATTACAAAATTCACATAAATATTAATAATTGTCCATTTGTTACTCTGTTTATAACAGAATTGTATTTGTGATACGTAAAAATGCTGCCCACAAATTAAATTGCATTATACGGCCGATGTTTTTTTTTTTGGAAAAAATGTGATTGCCGGGTTTAAGAATTGCTGTAACAGTTCAGTTGAAACATGCAAGAAAATTGCAAGCTGTAATTTTAAGATTTGATTGGTTGCGATTTTCATATTTTGTCCAGAGACTTGAGAGTTGAGACTTGGAGAAGGACAAACACAAACAAGCTTAGATTGAGGCATAGACTCTGCCTCCCTCTCTCTTCTCTTCGCCGTAAGTCACGCTTCCGTCTTCTTACCGATATTTCAACTTCTTATCCCTTCCCTCACTTTCTCTCTCACATCCTTTCTTTTTTATTTCCACTCTACCATTTAAGAAATTCTTGTGCGCACACGCACCGTGTTGTTCACGCTCCACTAATTTTAATTCAATAAAATCTTATATGTTATTTTTTTTAATAGCTTCATTTTTTGAATAAAATACCTATTTAATTAATGCCTTATATTTTTTTTCTACTATCATTAATAATAAAATTTACTTTATATTTACAATGTTTTTATTGGATGGATGGAGTATATATCACTCGGTGCTCTGTTAAATGTTTTAATTAGAAGATAACTGTATTTTAATTATTATTGTTGTTGATGTGGTTGTTGTTGTTTTTGCTAAGAAAGAGAGAGACATTATATGTTAATTCACTTTAATCCTTTATTATGGTAACTGTAAAATTCTACCTCCGCGACAGCCGTTCTTCGGTTTCTTTTCTTTTCTTTGCTAAGAAAACAGAGGGCCAAAAAATAAGAGTACGATTTGAATATTGATAGTACTATTTTGTTAATAAATGATAAGAAACAGAGACAAAGGAGTTCATACTTCATACTTCAGGGTGTATATTTAATTCTTTCACGCGTTCCTTCACTCCAGATTCCGCAAAGTTTCTCGGAAAACAGAGTGAGTCACAGGGATGTCAGAAAATGCACCTGATAAGATAAACCCTCAGTAACGCAGAAAAACACCTAAAGTTCCAAAGTTTGATTCTTCCTTCATTGATCTAATTTATCACTTTTAATCACACTTCTTGCTATTACCTTCATAAGAAAGTAAAGGCCAAAGAAAAAAGTAATTTTTGAAGGTTCCAATACTTCAGACTTGGTTTTTGGCCAAAAAAAAAAAAGTCCAGACTTGATTTTTGATTATCCGTCTTCTATGATAATGCGGATCTCGGATTCGAACAAAATTCTGAAATTGCTTCACTCTCAGTTTCACTTGTAACCACGAAATGCCCTAACGAATCCACATTCTCCACCAAATTCTCCTGGCAGAGAAACTCGTCGCTGAAAATCCTCTCCACCTCTCTGTTCAAATCATGCACGAAAACATGAGTGTTCCTCTTTCCATTGCCGGCGTTCTTGCTCCGAGCAAGCACCGCCGCAGTGAAAATCGCAGACATCCTCCCTGGCGCCGTCGGGGAGTACCCTCGCGGGCCGTCCAGCAATATCACATCCCAAGGGATTTCGTATAAATGATTCGGCAAATCGTTGATTCCGAGCTTGCATTCCGAGAACAAGAGATTCTGAACCGGCCTACAATCGCTCTTGAACTCCGTTCTGGCCTGCATTAGCAGCTTCGCATGCTCGCGCATCTCGGTGGTGAACTGAACGTCGTAGGCTTCCACTCCGGGATTGGACTTCTCAAACTCGGCGATCCTATATTCATTCTCGTCGAGCAACACGGTGCGGCCGTGGTGGTTGAGAGCGAACCAGAGGAGGGAGTCGTGGTTGAGACCGAAGACAAGGAAATTGGGATTAGGGATCCGAAGCAGAGTATCTGCGACGGCGGAGAGCTCGGCGGTGGACATTGGATGAGCTTCAGTGGTGACATTGGTGGAAGATGCGCCGGCGTAGTGAATAAGAGCTTTGATTACGGCGGCTGGGAGTGGCGGCACGGAGGCGGCGGCGGATGAGACGGTGGTTGTAGCGGCGGCGGCTGCGGCGATGAGGATGGTGAGGGTGTAGAGTAAGGCAAAGAATGTGAGGAAGAAGAGAAGGCATAAGCGATATTTGCTGTGGGCAGAAGTGTACTTGTGAATGGAAGAATGAAGAAGAATGAGTTTGGTGTTTTTGTTAGTGATTTTCATGTTGGATTCTGGGGATTTTGGTTTGACTTCTCTGCTGTTTCTGATGCGAGAGAGAACACTCATGAGACAAAGAGAGAGATTGACAGCGAAGAATCTGGGAACTGAAAACTGCTGTTAGAACTTAGGGTGAAAAGTTATTAATAATGGCATAAAAAGGGAAAATACGTATCCTTAGCATTTAATTTTTGTATTCATTTTCTTATTTTAAAAGAAATTTTAATTTCACCATGGGCATGTATTCCATGAAGATCACTCCATGCAATAATTATCAATAAATGGCCAGCCCTATGCTTTCCCACAGTTTGTAAGTGATCTTATATACTCGCGTGAAAGTTGTATTTTGTGATTTAAAATTTGTTTTCAGAAAATTCACTTTCCCTGTTAATTTCATGCGATTTGTTTGATGGTTTTTGTATAATTTTTAATTAATTTATTCGTAAAATTTTATATCCCAAGCTTAGTGAAAAATAAGCGCACCAACGTTTTGATACAATAAAAAATTGTATATTTGAAAGTATAATTTATTTATGCTTTGAACCTGGCATGAAACGACCTTTGAACACTATAATTTAATACAAGTTTTGATTCTGCCAGAAGTAAACTGAAAGAAGTTGGTGTTGATTCACAAAACAAGGGAGGCATAACATGACAAAAATGTTGGAGCCAGGGAGTGTCACATGGAGCAGGGGGCTAAAATATGGCCTAATATTCAGTTGAAATTGATCTAGTAAAGAAAAATGAGTTTTCAAAAGTACAGAATATGAAATATGTCACAATATTCATTATTCTTTAGGTGTCTGTTTTTTTTTTTTTTCATTAAGGTATTCATATTCTCAATATCAAGATTAATATTCATGAGTATCAAATAAAATCTAAAGGATTGAGGCGGGATATGACTTATGAGAAAACCAGATGTAGAACTCAAAAAGCGGGTTAGCTAGCGTGGCCATTTCTTTTTACACGTGTGTGTTTTGTGTTCCTTTTGCTTTTTCGCAGGTGAAGCAAGTGGTGGCAGAGATGGCACATCATTCTATTATAAATATAAAGGATTAAAGTATAAATATATTCTTAATATTTTTAGTCAGGTACACTCTAAATTTTAAAATATTTTTTTGCACAATTTCACTTCCAACCAATTTTTAAAATGGTGCAATATTATTTCACTATTAGGTTTGACTTGGTTGATTATTAATTTGACTATCAATCCCAATTTTAACAAACCATATGGCATATTTTTTAAAATTAAAAAAAAAGAACCCAGTGCCCAGTCTCTTCTTCTTCATTCTTCTCCCTTTTTCTTTCTTTGATCAAATCCCCTTTCAATTTTAAGGAGAGCTTCATCTTCGTTACCTTTCTCCTTCCTTGTCTTCTTCGATTGATCCCCTCTCATCTTGGCTAAAACTTCCTTCCTATCAAATCATTGGTGAACTTGTTAGTGGACGTCGAATCATTGAGGTTGATCACAAAACACACAGTCTGATCCTTGAAGCTCTCCCTTGATCCCTTCAATTCTTTCTTGTTTTGTCCAAGAACAAGAAAGCAAGCGGGTTGAACTAGAAGCAACATTGTTGATTTCTAGAAGCAGCATTGCGAGTCTTCCTTCTATCTCTTCCTCTCCGCCTTCATCATCTCCCAAATCTCAAGCCTAGGAAACCTTCGACCTTCTCTGTGGAAAACCAAAACCTAAATGACGTCTTTACTCAGTATCTCTTCGCTTAAGTTATCTAGATTTGTTGGTCCAAATCACAAGGTTGTCGATAATTCAAATATTTCACCTTTAATTCTAGGTACTTTATGAGACCGACGATGGCACCTTCTATTATGGGTTTGTTGAATCTAAGCCTAGTTCATGTGTGCATTTTGGCTCTTAAATCTGTTCATAGTTTGAAGATTGTATTTGCGCTTATGGGTCACAAATTTAGAGCAAAAGAACTTGAGGGAAGTAATATTTAAAAAATGTTTATCTTTGGGTTTCATTTCTTCTATTTTTTAGACAATTGATTTGGGCTGAAGGTTTTCCCCCTAGTTTAAAATTTATCTTAGTTGATTTGTGCTTTACTAAGATCGATTTGAATGCTTGTAACATCCTAAAATTTAACTCCTGATTAATTCAATTAATAATGGTAACTAAGTAAATTTAAGTGGAATTAAGTTAGTGGATAGTTAAAGAAAGCTAATGGACCTATTGGGTTATGGTTGCAGCCTTTAGATCAAGTTTAAAGTAGAGTTAGGCCACATGGACCCTGACATAAGGAGGAAACAAAAGTTTTCTCTCCTTGTATCATCTGCTGTAGCGCGGGCTATTAGGGCTTAGTGGTTAGAGCTTATTGGAGTGATTCGAGCTTGTTTACACTAAGATAAGCCCCCACTAGCCTCTCCTCTTTCTCTCTACAACGTTTTTAAGCTAGTGTTTGCCTTAGGAGAATAATTTTTGGACCTATGGTACTGTAGGTTTGAATCCATTGACTTAAATAGAGGAATTGTTTGAGTTATCTAAGTCTAAGTTTAATTTTTTTTTTTTGCGTCATTGAGTTTGGACTTGTAATGTTCGTCTTAATATTATCAAGATACAATATACGTACACACGATATCATTGTGATAACCAGGATTAATTAATTCTTTATATGAAGTTATCATAACATAAAAGTTTAAAAATCATTTTAAAACATTTGAGATTATAAGAAACCCTTTTTCAAAAAATTTTAAGTTCAAACAATAGTTTAAAACAAGTTAAAAGATATAGCAAAAGCATTAAAACATAAATTAAGCCATACAACGATCAAAAGAGGGCATTTTGGGCACTTTCCAAATTGCTCCAAGCAAATGACACAAAGAGATCAATTCCCTTATTGTGTAATGCACCATGACGCATCCCTACTGTTATGATAGTACTTTGGGACTAACTTTTGAAGTGCACATTTTTGCCATCTGACGTTTTAATTTGAGCGATTCAAGTATTCATACATATTTCTCTAAGCCACTTAGTTATTGACACTAGTCTTACAACCAAACACTTTACCATTTAAAAGTTAAATACCCAAACACAAGATTGCCCTTTTTTCTTTAAAAACACACACAAGGGTGTCTAGACCAACCAACCAAGTGCCAATGAACCTAGAACCACTTAAACCAACTCAATTGAACCACAATATACCTAATTGAACAATTATTCAACACATGCACAATCCAAACATAAGTTGGCCGTAAAAACCCCCATTGCACAATAATTTAAGGGGTAACTATACATCATATTTTATAATTTCTTGGTCATCCAAACACATACAACTACCATTAATGTTACCACTTGTATTAGTATCTTAACCTTTAATAGTCATTTCATTAAATTTTTATCATTCTAGGTCAAGATACCAAAACTATATATTCTCAGACAAGTGATACCTAAATCAATATATACTACTACGTTGGCATATTGATATAAACAATTCATTACAAAATACCAAAAGAGAGGGGAAAAGCTATTCAAACTTAAGCTCATCAAATCCCGACATAATCTTCCTTCCCTTTGCCCTTATTAGAACCTTCATCTGTAAAATATAATCACAAGGTGAGTTGAGAACTCAATAACGAAATAATCTAATATAACTACTTATGTGTAAGAATAGTATATGAGTATGTGAAGTGACAATAAAATATGTATTTTAGTTTAGACATGGTTTTATAATTATGACGAATGACTAATCAACATACCACCTTATATCCTCTTTATTTTCTCTAAGTGAATCTGTGGACTGACAATTTAATAGAACCAAGTCTGTGTGATTGGATTGGTTCAAGCTCACCAATTACGCGAGGCAGCCTCGACCAAGGACACCTTCGTCTATTCTCAAACCATAGATTTCTTGTCTTAAACATTAGGAGTGTTATATGCTCAATCTATCTCAGTTAGTACTAGGACTTCCAAATAAAATAGAATCAAACATCAAAGCCTCCACGGTGATAGTATACTACATGGATTTCATACAATATCTCCTGACAATTAATTCTAAGGTAAACTTTCACCTTTTACAATGATCGTGCTCATATATTTCCATTCACATAGCCACACACATGTGAATTATTTTAGAACAATCATTACCATTACAAATCATACAATTTTGCAAGTACATGCACTTATAATCTTGGCATAAATCCCTTTCAAAGCGCCAAATATGTAAGCACATACATACTAACAGTATATTAGTTCAAAACAATGACATAGGAAGTTTTAACTAGAGTCGGTAATTCAGGTCAACCTAACTTATTCGGGTTGAGCTCAATACAAGTTGAACTTATTCGGATCGAGTTTAAAGTATCTTACTCCTTCTAAAAAGCCTATATAACTGAGCCCGGCCCTAACACATTTGGGCTTCGAACTTATTCGACCTTACTTGAATACCTAAAATTTTTTAAAAATATTTTTTCTTTATTTTTTGAACCAATCTTAATTTTTAAATAATTTTGTTAAGCATAAAATATTATTTTAAATTTAAAAACATAAAATAAAAAATAATAACCTATCAACTTTGTAGTTAAGTCTATTACTATTTTATTGTATTATATGTAATTTATTTATGAGTATTTCCTTTACTTATAATCTAATGTTTTAGTTATTTAAAAATTGCTCTCATCATGGTCATATGTAAATATTTTACATATTTTAATCATGATCAAGTTGATCTCAATTCAATCATGGTTAGATTACTAAGTTAAAATCACTATCCCGATTAGTTCAAAGTTTTTATTAATTTTTGGGTGAATTATACTTTTTATTTTTAAAAATATAAGAAAAATAGTCATCATTATTATTATATAAAATAAAATCAATTAATATGAGTAAAATGCTATATTTGGAATCATTTTTTATTTTAAATTTTTATATTATTTAACCCTTACATATAAGAGATTTTTATTCTAATTTATTCTTAATTTTTAACCAATTCTGGGGGGGATGATAATAAAATAATTATCCAAGAATATTATTCTATTTATTATATTTATTCAGTAGTAAAATCAAGAATTCATACATGCCTGGATTTTATTTTTAATTTTATTTTACTTTAAATTAATTATCTTATTTTATAAAAAATAAGAAATATTTTTTTGGATACACAAATGATGTATAGGACTCAAAAACTTTTTTAAAAAAATTGAGTCTTAAAATATAAAAATAAATATTAAAATATATTTTAAATGTGAGATATTTTATTGATTAAAAATATGAAAATATAAATATTTTTATTTTTTTAAAAAAATAGCTATAGTAATGCACTCAAATATATAGTATTTTGATATAAAATGACATAAAAATTTAAAAATTAATTAATATTTTTTTATATTATATATATATTTTTAAAAAAATTATTTGGATATTCAGGTCAAACTCAAACATCAAACTCGATTAGACTTGGCCTGAATTTTCTCAGCCCTATTTTGGCTTGCCCAATAAGGCCTAAACATTAAAAAATTATTATTTTTTTACAGCTTAGCCCTAAATATTTTGGGTTAACTCATCGAGTTTGGCTTAAATTATCGACTCTAGTTTTAACAATCCCCATAGCCATCCAAACACATAAACAATAAGTTTAAATTCTTCAATTATCTCAATCCTTTTGTCATAAAAAAGGTTACCAAGGCAAAAGCTACTCCACAACAGTCCACTTGCTCTACAAGTTTTGGTCAATATTTAATCTACAACCTTATCTTAAGGTATTGTTAGCTTAGAATGCCTTTAAATTACTCAAAAAATGAAGCCTTAGTAGACCAAGATTCCTCCTTTATTGTCCCTTCACATTTTCTTTCCTTTTCTTCCTCTGGTTTCTTGCATGTGCAAAAATGATAAAGAAAATTTTCGCACACCTACTGTGGCGAATGACACTTTCATTGCGACGGATGACACAATGAGCTCAAATTAAATTTTAAGCCTCACTTGATGTCTAGTCTACCTGAACTCCAATCTAGTCCTCTTTTAAAGCTGTCAATGACCCAATAACTTCATTAGTTGTTTGAAAACATTATCAATTCATTAGGTACTCAATTTTACTAATTACCCTTTTAAACACTAAAAATTAAAAATTGAAAATTGAAAATGTTCAGGACTCATAAATATGAAAAAAATGGCATCAAATGACAACAGCAAATGTTATCAACTAGTGCAATGTGCCACGACACAGGTGCATTGCACGGCGAGGAGTGTGCTACAGCCTACCTCTTGTTTTCCTGCAATGTTGTTTTGTTTTCAATGAAAAAGCAATGCTTTAATCTTACAAAAAAAAAAGCAATGCTTTAAATTTTTTTTGATATCACATGCTTTTGTATTTATATCTACTCTGATTTTAATTCATAAAATGATATTTGAGTACTCATTTAAATTTTGAAAACTTAAGATCCCAATTATGCAAATATTTAAAACTTGATAACCTTATTGGATTAATTTGAGGACTACCATGATATTTGGTATTAATGGTGGATTAGTAAGGGCAATCTTACAGGTGTCCAACTTTTTTGTGTAAAATAATTTTGGATTAAAATTTGTGTTATTAGCTAATTTGTTAAAAGATCTTTTTATAAACACTTAAATTGATTAGACGTCAAATTGAAAATTGGGATAAGTCTAAAGTTTGGCCCTTGTGTTATTAATTAATGCTATCAGTTTTGGTGATGCGTTACTGCACATGACACAAAAAAGAATAGGCTGCGACACCCTCTTCTATTATGCTTTTCTTGATATTTTAAACCTTTTTTCAAATTTTTTAAATACAATATGATATCTCATGCTTCTATGTATGTTTTTATTCAAATTTATAAATTTTACTTGTTTTTGAAAAGTCTAAGCTAATCAAACTTGTAATCCTAGTTTTTATCTTGTTTAGGTTTAAACAAAATTTGATAATTTGCTTAGGTTAATTCCACGATTGCCGTGGTGGTTTTGGCTATATGTTGAGATAACAAGGGTGATCTTACAATGCTTGTGGTTTGTGCTTTCTAAAATTTGTCATTCAAAATATAAGAATGGTTGCTAAAATTTTTCTTTTTTGATTTGCAATGGGTGTTGTTGTTTCTAAATCTCATAAACATGTTCAAGTGAGAGTTGCAAATTTTTTTAAGATGTGAATTGTAAAGCCGCAGAAATGTGGTGTTGTAATTGAACAATGAAATTTCTTCTCCGAGGATGATTTTGGGATGGGGAAGAAGAGATTTTTTGGTGATTGATGACTTGGAATTGATAAAAAAAAAAAGATGTGGATGTTGACTTTTCAAGCTAGATAAGAAAATAATGATCAAAATTATTAAGTTAACAATCAACTTAGTCAAACCATAACAGTAAGTGATATTGTACCATTTTAAAAAATATTGAGGCAAAATTGCACCAAAAGATACTTTAAAATGTGGGGTGCGTATAGCTGAAAATATTAAGTATATATTTGTACTTTAACTCTAAATATAAATTACATGTGCATATATATTTCCATCTTCCAATGTGACTTTTTCTTCAACAACATGAATGCATGGGATAGAGACATAGAGTATGAACTTAAAATTTCTAGTTCAGAAATGGATGTTCAAGTGTGCTTCAAACCATAATATTACTCTATACGAAATCGGAAATTTAGAATAAATTTAGAAGTGGGTTACAAAATATTGAAGATTTTTACATGACGTAATGACATATTTGTTTTTTTGTCACCACAGTGAGATTAATACAATAAAAATCTCCAGAGAAATGTCCACCCATGAAGTAATGGATGAAATAAGTAAGTTTCTCCTCATTTTTGTTGCTCTCCACTTTTTTCTGCTTTTCATTTAATTATTGCTATTATATAAAAAGAAATAATTATTTTTATTGACACGTGACATATAGTTGGAACTCAGAACTCAAAAATGTCTTACAATTCTTTAAAATTGAAATTGATGAATTTTTGTGACGAGAGAGAAGATTTCAGATTTTATGAAAAAAAATGAGCAAAAATATAAAAAAAAAATTCACCTAAATTCACCAACCTCAACTTTGAAAGATTTAAATCCTTTTGACAGCTTAATGTGCAGGAACTGGAGAAATGCTCGTCCTGTACAGGGATTAAAGAGTAAAAGAACAACATAATAAAAGAATAAACATTTACAAATTAAGATAACATTTGAATTTGAAATTTAGATTTAAAATCTTACATTTGAAATCTTATATTTAGAATTCATGTATTCAAGATTTTTTATTTGGATAGTTTTAAAAAAATAAATAAAGAAAAGAGATGAGTTAAAATTTAAAATTAAACAAATGAAAAAATAATAAATTTACTTATATTTTTTAATTGACGAGAGATTAGAAAAAATACGACCATCACATAATAAAAACAAGAAAAAAAATAAAAAGTTGGAAGTGGTTAGAAATTTTAAATGATTAGAATTTAAGAAGAATTTTAAATTACAAATGAAATGTAATCTATAAAATTTTATTTATCTAAACAAAAAATTTAATCCAAATTTAAATTTTTATTAATCTAAACACACCATAATATAATTAATCATTTTGCGTTGTGTGCTTCAAGCCACTTCGATAGAGCTGATACACGAGCCGCCGGAATGCCGGATGGCCTTGAAGAAACGCTTCTCAGAGATGAATTGGGCATCACTTATATCAATATGAGAGTCTTCAGTGTTTAAGTTTTTAGTTTTGGGCTTGGACCCCCGTTCTGTATACCATACAAAAAAAAAAAATTAATCATTTTGTTCTTATCTTTTTTCTTTTTTTCTTTCTTTCTATCTATTTATTGCTGGAATATCTGTTCAAGCCTAATATAGTGTCTGTTTGAAAATTTATTATGAGAATCGTTTTTTATTTTTCATAATAAAAAAATAAAAAAAAATTATTTGATAATGTATTTTTAAAAAGTATTTTAAAAAATAAAAAATATTATTTCGAAAAATAAAAAATAAAAACAACTTTTAAAAATACTGTGATTATTGTTCTGAAAAATAAAAATATTTTATTATTTTTTTATTCTGAAAATATATTTTATAAAATATCAATTCTTAAAATAATAAAATAAAAATAATTTTAAATAGTACCATAAATATTTACTTTGCTGGTGCAGTGGTCCAAAGGTGGGGCCATCCAAAGCGGAACCCATAAAGCAATTGAACGCTTGTACCACAATAATTTTAATGGTATTAATTATTCTTTAATAAAATAAAAATATTAACAAATAAAAATATCTAATTCTTGGATATTCCCCACTCACCCTCAATTTGTAATTTGTAATTGACAGAAAAATCAAAGCATTTTCCGACCCTCAATTCCGTTCTTTTAGCCTCAAAACACGATATAGTCATTTATTACAATAACTTAAACTATTTTTATGACAGAACAAAATTGGACCAAAGTTGAATCATTATTTAGCTAGAAATTAGAGTTGAATTTGAGACTGAAATAATTTTTAAAAATTTAGACAATTATAGACATAATATTAAAAAAAGCTTAAAAATTTTAAAAATTAAATCCTATTAAAAATTATCTTTATTTTTAAACAATTCATATATATAAAATATGATTTGAAATCATTTTTTATAAAAATATTGATAATTATAAATACAAATATAAATACTTTTAAATTTATTTATATTTAATTTAATCAAAATACACTTATCTTTAATAAATTATAAAATTATAATTTATAATTATATTATGTTATTTTATTAATATATTATAATTTTTTTATTTATTATATATATTTAATATTATTTTTATTTAATTATTGCAGAAGAATGATGAATCACTCATTTTTCTGGTTCAATGTCGATGCGATTTTAAAAAGATTGATTTATTGCAGTCTGATGGTCGTCACACTAAACAATGTCTCTTGTCGTTTTGTTAGTCAATTAGTCAAACTTTCTTTCTTCATCAAATGTAGTCAAACATCATCTGCTGCATCGCCTGCACGCAATTTCTTTAATTTAACCCCTCTCCAATAGTGTAATTTCCTGTTCTTCTCATTCAAAATTTCCCAGAACAGGTCTCAAAACGCAAAAGCTTGCTAACAAAGAAAGCAGAACATGGCGAGTGAAAACCAGAAACACAAACTCCACATATTCTTCTTCCCTTTCCTTGCTCATGGCCACATGATCCCCACTGTTGACATGGCTAAACTCTTTGCTAGCAGAGGCGTCAGAGCTACCATCATCACCACCCCTCTCAACCTTCCTCTCATTTCCAGATCTATCCAACAGTCCACACTTCTTGGCCTTCCCATCAACCTCCTCTCCATCAGATTCCCGTGCGTCGAAGCTGGCTTACCAGAAGGCTGCGAAAATGCTGACGCTGTATCTTCCTATTCTATGATTCCCAACTTCTTCGAAGCAACCACGATGCTTCAAGAGCCTCTGGAGCAGCTCCTGCGAGAACATCACCCAGATTGCCTCATTGCCGGTTCGTTCTTTCCGTGGGCCACTGATTCTGCAGCCAAATTTGGGATTCCGAGGATCGTTTTTCACGGGACTGGGCTTTTCCCTTTATGTGCGGGCGATTCTGTAACAGTCCACCAACCTTACAAGGATGTCGCGTCTGATTCAGACCCGTTTGTGATCCCTAATCTGCCGGGAATCGAGATTCAGATGACAAGGATGCTTTTGCCTGCTTTCCTCATGAGCAATGAAGATACTTTCTTTTCCAGATTGTTTAAAGCTTCGAAGCAATCCGAACTGACAAGCTTCGGGGTGGTCGTGAATAGCTTCTATGAATTAGAGGGAATCTATGCAGATCATTATAAGAAAGTGCTTAGAAGAAAGGCATGGCACATAGGCCCACTATCTTTATGCAACAGAGACCAGAATGAAAAATCAAACAGGGGAAAACAAGCTTCCATGGATGCAGGAGACTGCTTGAAGTGGCTTGACTCCAAGAAACCCGACTCTGTTATGTACATCTGCTTCGGAAGCAGATCAGACTTCACCAAACCTCAGCTCAAGGAAATAGCCGCGGGTCTAGAAGCTTCTGGACAGAATTTCATCTGGGTAGTGAGGAGAAGCAAGAAGGATGGAGATGAAGATTGGCTTCCGGAAGGATTTGAGGAGAGAACGGAAGGGAAGGAGTTGATCATTAGAGGTTGGGCCCCACAAGTGTTGATTCTGGAACACGAATCGGTGGGTGGGTTTGTCACTCACTGTGGGTGGAATTCGACGCTGGAAGGAGTGAGTGCAGGTGTACCGATGGTGACGTGGCCTGTGTCAGCCGAACAATTTTATAACGAGAAGTTAGTGACTGAAGTGCTGAGAATTGGGGTAGCGGTGGGAGTGAAGAAATGGGTTCCGGTGGTGGGGGATTACATAGAGAAGGAGGCGATCGTGAAGGCAGTGAAAGAGATCATGGAAGGAGACGAAGCAGAGGAAATGAGAAACAGAGCAAAGAAACTTTCGAAGATGGCGATGGAGGCTGTGGAGGAAGGAGGATCATCCTACTCTGACTTGAATTGTCTTATAGAAGAGCTTGTGGGGCGCTCCTATTGAACTACATACTGTTTTGTCTCCCATTTTGCATTCGACAAAGGTTCCTTTGACTCTTACCAGTGACTCTGCTGTTAACATTAGCTTGATGATGAATAATATTGAGCTTGTTCACCATCCAGCAGACTCTCGAATCGCTTTGGCATTTATATTAGACATTTTATGCATATACTCCTTCCGCACCCACGTTAATATTCTCTTTTGATAAGTTAAAAACGTGGGAGAAAAGAAAATTAAAAAAAATAAGGGGGAAAAAAAAAGCGATGACGTATTTAGGGAGCTTGGGGTGCTTCCCAATTTCATTGGTCTTTGAATTTTTTTTTTTTTTTACTGGATTTGTTTATGGATTCGTCTAGAAAAATAAGCATTCTCTTGGGAGAGAAAAATGTAATTAAAAAAATAGAGAAAAAAATTGAATGTGAAATTCACTACATTTTTCTCTCAAATTTTCCCTACATATGGGTAAATTTTGAGAGAGAAAATTTATTTCACGCTACACGCCTACTTCTCGAGCCTTCTCCACCAAAGATGGTCATCCTCGCCCCTCTCCCTCTTGCGCGTTCCAGCTGCTTCCTCGGCTCACCGAGTATGCATCTTCTAGCTTCTTCCTCTTCTCGCCTTCTCAAATCCAGCGTCTCGTTGACGTTTTGCAGGTTCTAGCTTCACCCACTGCACACACCCCCTTAATTATCACCTAATCATTTAATTGGCAAATTGACCATCATGATACAATCATATATACACGAGGAGCGGGAGAATTGTTTGTAACTTTTGTCATAGGAAGGAAAGTAACACCAATCGAGAAAAGAAAATGAACCAGCGGTGCATTGGGGGGGGTGTGTGGCAGACTAACAAGTACATTTGAATTTTTCTCTCTAATTGTATGAAACTTGGAGCTATGAAAGCCAGGTTTTATATATGTCTGAAACAGAAGAAATTTCGAAACTTGGTATCTACCAGATTGATTTTTAATTTGTAGTATCTTAATAAATGTTTTTGAAAGTATAGTATTTTGGCAAATAAAATTTTTTATTATAGCATGACGGTCAATTTACTCATTTAATTTGTATATTATTTGAACGAAGACCAGAACAATAGGTTCAATTATGATGATTCCCCGAAGCCCGAACTAGTAAAGGAATATATTCAACCTAATTAGATGTCCACCTTTGTATGAGTAAGTGGGACGTGTATTTTGAGAAAAGGATTGACAGAGTCATGCATACTTTGCCCACTTTCCGAGATTCTTTGCCCGTTCATGCCCATTACACCACACGACGAAGCACCTCTCAGGAATTTGAAGGAACAAATAATTACTTGCTCCCATTAGCACCAAACTTAAATTTGAAAAGGAACACATTGTTTCCATTTGTTATAAATAGACAATGAATACGTAACTCAATGACACTCAACATTTTGCCAAATTTATACCAAACTTGCCCAGCACAAATATACTACTTGACTTTATGTCATCCTCTACTTTGCTTAACATGACTAACTTTTCTTGTACAAACTTAACCCCTTACACTAGTTTTGCAAGCTCATTTGCTTTTCCATGTTCACAAAACACCTTATTGTACCTACTTCTCAATCACAATACATCTCATCACTATTCTTGAAATGATTTTGAGAACCCATTTAATCATCTATTGCAACTTACTCTTTTTAAAACTTGATTTTCTGGTGTGCCTGCACACATATACATTCAAAAGGTCATGACGCTTCAAACCCTTACTGAAAATCAAGCCAACACGAAAATCTGTATGCATATATATATATATATATATATTAAATGGCTAGGCAACAAAGTTTTGAAATAAAAAATTTCTTTTAGCAACTAATTTGATTTAAAAATTTTTTGATAATGTTAATTTTAATATGATTTTTGCCTTCAATTTATTTTGTAAAAATAATTACATAAAACATGATATATTTTAACACAAGGCTATTGTAATTATTGTAATTTTTGCTTATCTTCTTTTTTTTTTTTCTGTTTCCTGTGCTTTTAAACATAAAAAGTGATTTCCTCCCCACAAAGAATAAAAGAAAAAGTCATAATTTTTGTTTTGATTTTTTTCTTTTCATTTTCTGTTTTTTCTCATCCAAGCAGAGGGTTAGTGCGTTTTTAACCAAGTCATTCAAATCTAAGCGAGTTAATTAAATTAATAAAGTTATGTTGACACAGCTTCAAGGGTGGGGAATTCGATGGCTACACCTACAATGTTGATGTTGGAACTTGCAGGATTTTGGATTTTCCGAATATTATAGGGAAAAAGTGGGTTTAGCGGGGGTGGTGACTATGGAAGCCATGATTCCTCGTGCAGCGAAAAGTCGGCCATATTTACCGTTGGTATCACGGGGACTTGCGCGGGGAAGGGAGGAAGGATACCGACATGTGCCGTTTGTGATTTTCGTCAGAGCTGCACGTGCATGAAATCGGGCCGGGAATCACTCTTCTCTCATGCTAGGTCCAATGTGTAGTTCGGGCTGGCTAATGCTTGACCCGGAATTTTTTTTTCATATTTTTTTAAAAATATATAAAGAATTTTTTCAAAAGATAAAATTATTATCATTTTAAATATATTACTTATAAAATTAATATCACAATCAAATGTAACTTTTTAAAAATTATGACCAACAACTATCAATTATTTTTACATAATATTAAATTAAAAGTAATTTTTTACTTTTGAAAAAGATTAAAAAAATAGTAATTATGAGAAGTATCCAAAAAAAATATAAAAATAATATAGTTTATGATAAGAGCTAATCAAAATAATATTATAAAATAAATATTATTCACAAAAATATTAAAAAACAAAAAAATGATATATGTTCTAGTTGAATTAGGCGAGGTAGGATTTGATCCCTACCTAATGCCTGGCTCAATTTATTTGAATAGCTCGGGCAGGGTTGAGCTAACCAAACTCTTAAAAATACCCCTAATTTTTAGAAGAAGCATTTAGAATAGAGCAAGTTCACAATTTTCAAAAGATGTAAAGAGAGAATTAAGAAGATGACTATGAGAGATTAAGGATTAGACCTGTTTAGTTTACATTTTCAATTTTTTTTTAAGAAACTCATTTGAATAAGTGTTTTGTATTTAATTTTTTTTAAATTGTTATTATTTTTATTTTGAAAAAATGAAAATATCTTAAAGTGGTTTTTCATTTTATTTTTCTTATTTTCAAAATACATCTCATTTGATTATTGGAATAGCTAGTTTGATTAATCTTTGTTATAAAAAATTATTATTAATTAGAGTTGAAAAAACGGACTGACTCGTCCCTTGACGAGCTCAGGTTTAAAAGAATTAGCTCATTTAAGCTCAAATATCTTTTGAAAGGCTCATATTTAAAGCTTGATTCTAAGCATAACGGGCTTAAGGTTGGCTCGCAAACTTCAGGCCCTTTTAGTTTTTTTAATTTTTTTAAATTAAAAATAATTTATTCATTCTACTAAAATATAAAATTTTACTCTAATGTCAAATCACATAGATAAAATCTTAATTCTTAATATCACCAATATCTTGATTATGCAAAAATACCATTATTTCAAATAATAAAACTTATTAAAATTTGTAAATTCTCAATTCAAGTCATACAATACAAAATTATATAAATATAAAAATACTCTATCATTAAAAAAATATAATTTAAAAATGTTAATACACATACGTAACACGAATCAAATTATTGTCCAAAGAAGCATTGTTTAGAATTAAACAAATCAAAGTATTATGTAAATTTTAATTCTAAGAAAACTACTATAACAATTAAATATTTGAAACATCATCAAGAATATTAATAATATTATCATAATAAATAATATTTTAAACTATAAATAAATAAATGAGCCCAAACGAGTTGGCTCTCAACCCTGTAGGACCAGCCCTTTTAGGCACTCGATTCATCAAGGCTAGCCCTTATAAGTCTGCGTTCTATTTTGAAACTCTAAAATTCAAACGCGACCCTAGCAACTATCAAGATTAAACAGGGTTGGCCCTACAGGCTCGGTCTATTTTTCAGCTCTACCATTAATTACGTGCAAATATCATTATCAACTATTTTTTTAATTCTAAAGCTATTTTTAAATTAACACGGTGAAACAAATTTTCTTTTTGTTTTGTTTTTTTAAAATTAAAAATCGCATTACATAATTTTATGAACAAGCCCCAAGTTAAGTGACTTGTCTGGCAAGATGAAACAATTGATTGAAATATATGTGTCTGTATTGGTGAGACTTGCTTGTTTATCTTTGATATGCTTGAATGATTTATTTCTTGGCCGTCACGCTCTAGGTTGGGAGTGGCAAGCTGACCTAATGTTTAGGGATGATGTTCTTAAGTGAGTTGACGCTTATTATTTATATCATCTGCCCGAACAGTTTTTATTTGCTTGGAGGCATAAATATCGATTTAAATTTTTATTGATTTCTGTTTAGCTATCATGATATATTCTTTTTTGATAATTAATAATATATCCTAATATAATCTAATTAGAACTTGTGTAATACCAACATATTGCTGACCGATTTTATAGTAAGATTATAATAATGCGATCCTTCATTCAAATTTTAATTCTTTATGATCTTTCATGATTAATTATTCAATCTTCCTTTTTACAAAAAAGAAAAAAAGAAAATCATCTCCTTCCATTAGTTCAAATGATTTCTCGTCAAACGGTGAAATTCAAAGATATTACAATTTTTAGGGAGTAGCATACAAAAGCAGGAGAAATGCCCGTGCTATACTGGGATTAATTAAATAACAGCAAAACCACGTAATACAAAAATAAACATAGACGATAATTCTTTTTTTTTTTGGGCAAAACATAGACGATAATTTAACAGTATCGATCATTTCGCTCGTATCCTTTTTCTCGGCTGCAATTTTTTGTTATCTTCTCATATAAATGTGATTTTACTTACCTGGTAAAGTAAATAACCATAGAAGAGCCATCCAAGGCGGAACCCATAGAGCCATTGAACGCTAGGACCACAGCGTAATTCGGTATGTAAATTTGTTTAATATTAATTATTATTTAATAAAATAAACAAAGGAAAAATAATATATAAGTTCTAAGGAAATCAATTAATCTAAATTAAGTTCCAACCAA